CAGCTCCCATTAGAAGCTCTTTCAAGCTGACAGGACCCGCCATGGTGCAGACTTCTCTAGAGTCCTTCCGGTCCGCCCTGTAAACCCAACCGGCTTTCGTCCAATGTTGAAATCCCTCCCCCTCTTCTTCAGTTCCTGCTTCCCTCTCGTTTCAGGTTCCCCTTTTCGCTCCTCCTTTCCTAGTGTTTCACCAAGGTATGCTGACCCAGAACTTGGCGTTTCAGCTAAATCCTTGTGATTTGTACACACTTTAGAGTTTGAGAAACAGAGCAAAATTGAACCGAAAGTGCAGAGAGTTCCCATGTACCCTCTGCCCCTGCACAGGCATAGCCTTCCCCCACTGTCAGTACCTGACTCCAGAGTGGTACATTCGTTAGAATCTATGAACCCACATTGACACATCACACATCATTATCACCACCAAATCCATGGTTTATATCAGGGTTTATTTTTGATGTTGCACATTCTATGGGTTTGGAAAAATGTATAATGTCATACATTCACCATTATAATATCACAAAAAATGGTTTCACTGCCCTAAAAATTCTGGGGACTCTGCCTATTCATTTTCCCCTCCCCCTGACTCCTGGCCACCACTGTTCTTTTTACTGTCTCCATAGTTTTGCTTTTTCCAGAATGTCACATAGTTGGAACCATACAGTACATAACCTTTCCAAATTGGTTTCTTTCATTTAGTAACATGCATTTAAGTTTCCTTCATGTCTTTTCATGGTTTGGTAGCTATTTCCTTTTGGTGCTGAATAATAATAGTCCACGGTCTGAATGTACCTCTATTTATGTATCCATTCATCCACTGCAGGATGTCTTGGTTGCTCCCAAGTTTTGGAAATTATGAATAAAGCTGCTACAAACATCTGTATGCAGGTTTTGGGTGGACATCCTCTTTTATTTTCATATATCTGTTTAAATTTTTCTACAATGAACTTTTTTCAATTTGTAATATTAACAAATTATCGTTTTAAGAAATGTGAAACGCTTTAACACAATATTTGATTTAGTTGGTTGGAGGTTTGAATGGCTAGATTTATTTTTTGGAATACTTTTGGCTTTAAAGTAGAAATGGAAGTGGATAACTTGTGTTCAATCTGTTCTTATTTGGGATGTCAAATAATGACATAATAATAATCGTCAAATGCAAATTACTGTGCGGCTCTGTGCTAAATCTTTATCAAGCATTATCTCATTTATGTACGATCTCATTTACGTGTGGAATCTAGAAAAACCTGACTTAAAAATGGAGAACAGACTGGGGAGGATGGAGTGGAAATATGGGTGAAAGTGGTCAAAAGGCATATACTTCCAGTTATAAGATAAATAATTCTGGGGATGTAATGAACAGCATGGTGACTATACTTAATACTGTACTGTGTATTTCAAACTGGCTAAGAAAGTACTATACTAGATGATGGATATTAATTAAATTTATTGTGGAAATCATCTTGGAATAGATACATGTATTAAATCCTTACATTATATGCCTTAAAAATGATGTTATATGTCAATAATGTATCAACAAAATGGGGGGGGGGAAATAATTATCTCATTTAATTCTCAAAGGAAGAGTCGGACCCTATGCAACGGTGGTAGTATTTTTAATACATTAAACTATATTGGGCTTCTATAATTATTCACTGACAAGAATTTAGAAAGGAGTAGCGGTGGATTTTTTAATGTATTTTAAAAGTTTTTGTTTGTCTATTTTTTACTTGTTCCCTTCTCTGCTTCCACATGTCCAGATCCTATTTCTCTTTGAAAAACCATCTAAAATGTGAAGTTCCCTATTTATCCACATAAATTGTATTGTGATCCTCACCACATAGATTACTTGCTATGTTCAGTATGTGACTTTGCTGATGTGAGATCATTTTAACAATCCTTTGATTTATAAATCAGGAAGAAATATTAACCACACAACTTGTAGAGATTGCCCAAGTAAACAAAATGTTGAAAAACCAAACAGAAAACTCTTTTAAAGAAAAGAGGAACAAGAACTCTCATACTTTGCTAAAGGACCATGGATTGGTAAACCGCTTGGAAAATCTATTGTTAACAAACTGTATTTATACTTGAAAGCTGTTAAAGAGAGTAGATCTTAAATGGTCTCATCATACACACACACAAAATAGTAATTATGTGAAGTAATGGATGTGTTAACTAGTATTATCATGGTAATCATTTCACAATATATGTGTATCAAATCTTCACATTGTACTTACACAATGTATATGTCAATATTATCTCAATAAAGCTAGAAAAAAAACTAAAAAAAAAAGGATCTATAGCACTACACAATTAACATAGTTGAATCTTAAAAATATTGATTGAAAGAAGACAAAAACAAAGGAATATATAATATATGTTTCTATTTATATAGAGTCCAAAAACAAGCAAAACAAACTATAGCATTTAGGGATACATACTTAGAGGCAAAAGCAATGAAATACTTACTGTGACAAGTAGATCAGTAGCTAACTTTGAGGAAGGGGATTATGATAGGGAAAAGAGACAGGCAAGACTTCTAAAGACATTTAATAATGTCTCTTTCTTGATGGCTACATGAGTGTCTGCTTTATGATGTTAGCTTATATATTTATGTTTTATGCAGTTTTATTGATGTGTTATATTTCCAGTAAAAAAAGTTAAAAAAGAAAAATCAAAGGTTTATTACTCTTTATTTAAAAACATAACCAGATACCATTTGACCCAGGAATTCCACTCCTAGGAATTTATCCTAAGAATGCAACACTCCAGTTTGAAAAAGACAGATGCACCCCTATGTTTATCGCAGCACTATTTACAACAGCCAAGAATTGGAAGCAACCTAAGTGTCTATCAGTAGATGATTGAATAAAGAAGATGTGGTACATATACACAATGGAATATTACTCAGCCATAAGAAGAAAACAAATCCTACCATTTGCAACAACATGGATGGAGCTAGAGGGTATTATGCTCAGTGAAATAAGCCAAGCGGAGAAAGAGAAATACCAAATGATTTCACTCATCTGTGGAGTATAAGAACAAAGGAAAAACTGAAGGAACAAAACAGCAGCAGAATCACAGAACCCAAGAATGGACTAACAGAGGATCAAAGCCTAATTTGGCTACCCAGAAAACGAATTAAGATACGATATGAAGAAGAACTTCCAACATCAACATCCTCTGGAAGAGTCATTCCAGAAGATGATCATCAAAAAACTTCAACAAAGATCCTGGCGCTGTTGCAGATGTAGCTGCATTCATCCCACCGGTTCCTGGACTTGCCATTGGAATGAAGGAGGAGATTTCTAAGCTGGCCTGTGCATACAGTAAAAAAACAAATTTGACTGGACCTATACTGTTGGAACTCGACCAAGAATTAGGAGAAGTGCAAGTTGCAGTGCTCCAAAATCATGCGACTATAGACTATCTACTGTTAAAAGAACATATGGGATATGAACAGTTCCCAGAAATGTGTTGTTATATAATTTGTCTGATTTTTCTCAAACTATTCAAATTCAGTTAGACAATATCCATCATATCACTGACAAGTTTTCACAAATGCCTAGGGTACCTAAGTGGTTTTCTTGGTTTCACTGGATATGGCTGGTAGTTGTAGGTCTGCTTTTGTTATGTAGCTGTATTCCTATATGTTAATGTGTGTATGCAGTTTAATTAGTAGTTTAAAACATAACTAGATAAACCTTGGTACTATATATTCTCTGGTTGTCGATCATTTTCAAAATGAACACTGGAAGCATATGGTCATCAAAAGTTTAACGAAGCTGTATCATTTACAGGATTCTCAAATGGGTGCAATAAAATGTCATAAAAAATTAGTAAAAGATGCAAGGTAGTACACATGCAAGGTGGTACAATGGCAATAACAGCTTTACAAATGTTTACCTGTAGGATTTCTACAGCACTTTAAATGAACCTTTATCCTATAAGAATGACCAAATCACTTATATTGATACAGTACATGGCAATTTATTAATACTGTAAACATTGTAAGAGCCCATAAGATATAGTTACAAATATTCAACTGTTTCATTCCCAGTGAGCATTCCCTTTATTCTTACATTATATAAATATAGCTAGCAGGTTTTTTGTTCTTTTTTTAAAACTTTTACTAGAAGCAGATATGTTCCTTGACTTCATTATCTGTTTCATTTTCATCCCTGAATGTGTTGTAAACACAAATGTAGGTCTTGCAAAAACATTGTCGCCATGTCAGCTTTCCAGTCTGGTGACTTTCCACAACACTGTTTGGTATCTCAAAGTGATATTTATCTGTGGAAATACCCACAATTCTGGGAAATTGCTAAAATATCTTTTGAGCCAAAGCTAAGCAGGGGATATTTCAGGGATATTGTCTATGTAGTTACTTCCCATCAGGATAGGAAGTTCAGTGAAGATCTGAAACCCCTTGTTTCCTACTCATGAGGAGCTACTAACCTTATTCTTTGAACTGCAGTCATCAAAGCTAATCTATGCCTGTAGTCACACTCACCCTAATGAGAGTTCCCCTTTCTTTGTGATTCTAAGCACATTAGTGATGGGGATCCTGGCAGAAGCTATAGTTGGGTCCATTGCTAAACAGACATGTTTGACTAACTGGGGTCTCCCAGAGATACTTGGCAACTTTGCAGGTGATTGAATGATGGGGATGCCAAATAAAACAAAGGAAGCCCCGTTACATTTTAATTTCAGAGAAACAATAGTTCTTTTTAGTATAAATGTGCCCCGTGCAGTAATGGGGACATATTTACATTTAAAAAAGTATTCATTACTTAAAGGACATATTTTTTTTTTTTAGATAATTATTTTTTACTGAAGGGTAGTTGACACACAGTATTACATTAGTTTCAGGTGTACAACACAGTGATTGAGCATTTATATATGTGATAATTCTAGGTACCAGGTATTACCATACCAAGTTGTTACAATATTTTGACTATATTCCTTATGCTATACATTACATTAAAGGACATATTTTATTTAAAAGTTATTTGTTGTTTATCTGAAATTCCAATTTGATATATTTACATTTGCTAAATCTGGCAACCCTGGACTGGCAGGAAAGAACAAAAAACCAGTGAGCTGTACATTATTACTGTTATTGAATTGACAGTCTGTTCAGGACAGGGAACCATGTCTCCCAGTGCATCTGCTATGGACCTCAGGGAATGCTTGGCAGGGCAGTGTGAAAAATACAAGGTTCGTGCTGAGGTCTTTGTGAAATTTATATTCAGCTGTATGAATTTATAGTCAGCATATATCCAAGCAAGGAATACCTCAGACTTCAGTGAGCCAGTATAACTACTTATCTAAAATGCTAGAAATGATACATTCTAATTTTTAAGTTCACATTGGATGTTTTGCTTTGAATCCTTTTGGAAAATAGTTGGGGGATGGTCCTACCTCTTAAATTGTTTATAGTGAACAGAAATCCAATCTAGAGGGTCTTTTTAATAACCAAGCCTGTAGCATTTAATGCACAAGATTTCAAGGCTGAAAGAAATACTTTTCCATTACCTGAGAATACCCAAGATGAATGGGGACCAGGTTATTTTCTTAATGTCATAACTGCATTTAAAGATCACCGATTAGTTATATAGTTAAATTTGAATAACCTCTCCAACCTAAACTAGGTAATTCCATGATAAACATCACTTTGGGGATTACATTTTCCTATCTGTTTTCTTATTCATTGTGCAAACTAAAAAATATCCAAATACCTATATTCTACCACAGCATGTATGGGCTCCATATATACTTTAATTCTTCAAATGGAATTATATATTAGTATAATTATTTGTCATACCCTACTACATATTTTTTTAAAAAGGACTCGTGATTTTATCTGTATATTTTATGGATCATCATATGGAGTCAGGCAAATTTGGCATCAGTTTTGTTCATCGAAGCTGCTTGTAAGAAGTGGCAGAGTTTGAACTGGGCTTCTAGGGTGAGCCAGCTATGAAAAAACAAAAGATCCCAATTATAATGTGAATTACATTCTTGTGGCTGACACAGATTTCCTTCTTCCTCATGAACAGAACTCAGATTTTGTGCATGGTAGCAATGCATCCAGACTCTAAAAACTACTTTTTCCAGCTTCCCTGATATGATCAGAAGTTCCTGGACAGCATTGTTTAAAGAGATGAGAGGTAATTTAGCTAGCACACCCTTAGGCCCTTTGCCCTTCTCCTTATCTTGCCTAGAATGTGGACATGAGGCTTCAGGAAGTATACCCATTCTGCACCATGAGGATAAAAACCACACATTAAGGATGGAAGAGCAGTGATGACACAGTAAAGCTGCTGTGTCAGCTATGGACTGCCTACTTTCCCAGGGAATATGTAGGTAAGAAAAATAAGCCCCTAGTTGATAAGCCACTGTAGTCAAATTTCTCTTATTTGTAGCGAAATGCAAAACGTAACTAATTCAGTTGTTGCAGAGTTAAAGGATAAAGGAAGTCTAAGGGCTGGGTGGGAAAAGTCATCCTATGTCTAACAGCATTTGTAGTAGGCACCTTCCTAGGCAGTGGATTTTTGAGAGCATAATGTATGGCATAGGTTTTATTTGTGATTTTTAATGTTGTTGCACAATATGTGGGTTTATTATATTTTCATTTGTTTCCACATGACTCAACTCACTATAGCAATTATGGGTTGGGCAGGGACAAAAAGGACCCTAGAGTTCAACAAGGAAAGGAAGGTCCTTCAGTGAGGCCTCTACCCTCTGCCCCTGGCCTTCACAATCTGTGGTATCACCAAGAAATGTGATCTGGGTGTAGACTCCTATTGGATGTTCTAAAAGAAGAAAGAGGAATATGGCCACACCTCCAAAGAAGGCTATACAGTTTCCAAGAGGAGCAAAGTTGATTGACAAGAGGGAAATGAAGCTGTTCTGCAAAAGGCACTGATTGTTAATGATGGAGCTAAGGGAGGACAATGTTGGGGTGGGAGGGTGTCAGCAAAGGACTGTGTGATATGTCTCTGTTGCCAGAGGCTGATGGAAATAAAAGCTTCTTAGCCAAAGAAGCCAGCAGCCCTGTGTCTCAGCACTCTAGCAGGGGTGGAGGAAGGATGGCTGCTCCTCAAAGATCCTAACAGATCCAGTGATGGAGGTGATCAGGGAGATGATGGACAAATAGGGTTTGGACGAAATCACACAACAGCCGTTGATATACTGGATTTTGGTGTATGGGTCATACATCTTGGTGACAAACAAAGCTGCCCAGACCTTTTCCTATCAACTCCTCATGAGCTGACTCCTACCTGTATCTCCATCTCTGTCTTTTACTGCTGTCAGGATTGCTTTTTTTTTTTACAGTCACTGCCCACTTTTCAGGTCCTTGGAGAGGCCATGATCCCTCCCACCATGAGACCCTTGCACATTATTAAAGGAATTAATAAAACCAGACATTCATTGCTAAAGTGGAGATGTTAGTCCCAGCTATCTCATAGAATTTTACAAAGCTTAAATATGAAAATACTTCGTAAAGCATAAGGTGCCATTTAAAAATTATTACTAAGAATGATGTTTTAGATTATGATATTCAACAAATGATTTTGAAGAAAAGAGACCAAAAAAGTTTTTTTTTCTAAAGGCTTACTTGAAACTTTCTCCTCAAGGCCCGGGTCATTACTGGAGTCAGCCCAGTTCCTGTTTCCATATTTTCTTTCTTGGTAAGTGGGGTCCCACCTGGGCTCCTACAAAGGTATTGAAAATATTAGGAGCTGTGTTTTATGCCAACTTTTCAAATGGATTTAGAAACATAAAGATAAGAGCAAGTATTACCTCTCTACATCAATTTTTCTAAGTAGTTTCCGTAAATCTATCTGGCTTTTTCCAGGAGTACTGATAAAATAAAGATATAAAGTTAGAGTTTCCCAAATTTCATCATTTTTCTCAAAGCAAAGCAGTCATTTCTATAGGCAATGTCCTAGAAAGTACCATAGTTCTGTTATGTTAAGAAACAGCAGTAGATGCTGATAGTAGCATAAAGTGGTATAATCATTCTAATACGTAATACTTCTTGACTCAAATTACATGTATAAGAACCCTTCTTAGGGGAAATGGCTATGCATACAGATAGACAAGGATGCTCTTTGAAGAGTTACAGAAATAAAAAACCATAAACAACCTTAAACAACCTAAATGTCTCAAAATGGGTTTCTACCTATGAGATTTACATATAATGAGCTGCATACATTGAAGAAGTCAAAATGGTGCTTTAAACTAATTTTTACTAACATGGGGGAAAGTTCATGACCCATTAAATGGGAAAAGCTGTAACTGTATGGACAATATAATTATACCCATACACGTACACACACATATTTCACTGATTCCAAAACATACTAGTTTTCATATTTTATTATTTCTGAAATTGCACTGCTTTAAAAATTCTTAATAATATTTCCCTCCCAAATTTACTATTAAGTCAATTGTGTAGCTTATAATAAATAACATCAGGAAATGGACATAAAAGAGTATATGCCTAGAACAAGACTAGAATGATAAAAACAATATGTTAACAGTGTCTGTCCCCAATGATAGGATTATTTGGATGAATTTTGTTGTCTTCTTTAAACTTCTCTGTGGATTTCTGTTTTTCTCAATGAGCATACATAACTTTTAAAGTTAGAAATAAGCGAAAGAAACATCATTCTTTTAAGTAATGGTAGAGCATAATGCAGTGCAGTTCCTTACATTAAGACATTTGTGACTCGAGTTGACAACATTTTGGAGTTGGGTTTAAGGGCAACACGTTGCAGGTCAGAGACAGTAACTAGAGGACTCCGTGCCTTTGGTGAGGGTACAAGCTTTAATTACAAAATGAGACATTATTAAAAACACATTTAAAAATACAAAATGTAAACATGCTGAACAATGACTATTTGAGTGCTGAGTATGTGTAAGACGTAGCCACTACTCTACTCAGTTTTTATGCCAAAGCTTCAAAGAATGCCTCTATCTCTTCAGACTAATGCCTAATTAAATAATTTTGGGATCTATACATTTTGTTGAGGCAATCCAAACTACTCAAATAAAATATCAAATAATTACCTTGGAATGGCTTCAATACATAAGACTTTATGCTTATTTTCCGTGAAGGGACAACTAGGTTAAAAGCTAACAGGCCATGTGTTGGTCAATGACATCTTACCTTCCTCCTTTCATCAAAGCTCTGTGTCTTCCTTAATTTCACAGTCAGTAGATCTTTAACTGTTATCTGCACAGGTCCATCTTTTTTTAATGGTCCAGTCTTAAAATACACAGAGAGGTTAGAATTCAAGTTGGAGCCAAGCTATCTAGTCAAATGCAAATCCAAATCTAGTTTTTAAAGATTCAGTTAAAAATTAACTCTTATTTAACCTAGGAACCTAGGAATCAAATTCTTTCTACTGAGCTAATTAAGAATGATCCTGTTTTCAGTGCCCATGGACGTTTAAGGTCATTGGAAAGGATTCATCAAAACGTAGGACTTTGACAGTAAATAAGAGATGGGCTAGTTCCCTGTAACTATACATCCTCCTCAGGAGTTACTGTAAGAGAGGAGTTGAAGGAGTTCCTAAAATCAAAGAAAAGTTTTGCCTGAACTACCTAAAAAGATAGCTCTGTTCCCATAGAGCAAGAATGTATAGTCAGAGAAGTATAATTATGGAAAATATAACAATAGGCTCTAGATTTAACTCAGCCATTTTTAAACCAAATGTATCTGTAGTGAAATTTAGCATATTTTTAAACAGGGTCGTGCCTATCTTAGGGGTTCACAAATATTCCGGTTCCCTTGGTAGATAAGTGACTCTAATGGAGACTGGTTCTCCAGCCTACAGACACTATACTTTAGAATCCACCAACTCTATTTATTCTGACTTCACTCCCTAAGCCACCTTCTATTCTTAATTTGGTTTCCCAGGGAGGTTTTCCTTTTAGTAAAAAGATATTCTGAGAAGCCATTAGGAATCTTCCAATCTACTGGGTCTCATTCATTTATCCTTAAGAAAATCACTTTGATTTCTAAATCCAGCTTCTGTGAGTTCCCATGGGACTGAGTTTTTAAAGACATAATAATTGAGATAATTAAAAAATGGAATCAGAAAAAAATGTAGCCTTCCTGTCAAAGCCCTCAGCCTAGTCTTAACAGGCCACCTGGCTTTACTCCTACATTACATGCTGACCAAAAGATACCTTTACTAGGTTTTTACTTACCTGAAGTGCTTTAGTGAGATGGGATTTTCTGAGCAGCAAAGGTGCTATTGGCGGTGGAGGTGGAGGCAAAGGAGGAGGGGGAGGGGGAGGCAGAGGAGGAAGAAGATGGCTGGTGGGCTGCGGCGGCAGGGGAGGAAGTACAGCTCTGGATTCTCCAGGGGCAGTGAAAACACAGGCAGGCACACGTGTAAGTTTACCACTCATGTGACACATCTGACCACAGCTTGGACATGAAGAATTTTCTGAGACAGTCTGGAAGACATTACATTTGTCAAATGAATAATAGATTAATTTGTTTCTTGTGGATAAGAGCCATCAAAATAAAATAAGAGCTCAATAAAAAGTTTTGAATGCTTCCTCAATATACTACACACTTCATATTTTCTCATTTATCACAAGCTCATTCATTCACTCAACTCATTTACTCATTCATACATCTGTTTGTGTATGCTATATGTCAGGCACTGTGGGTACCTCATGGAGCTGACAGTCTGGTGAGGAAGACAGACATTGAACACACATAAACACACTCAAAACAAAACAAAACAAAACAGTATTTTCATAAGAGCAATGAAATATGCTGTGAGCATGAATAGTTAGAAGCCTGGAAAGTGATATTTAGCCATAATCTCAAGGATGAATTGAGACTTACCAAGTGAAGGGAGATAAGGTCTGGAGGAAGGGTTCTTAGCAGGGGGAAGAATGCTTAATGTATCCAAGAATACATTATATATTCAAGGACTGATAAAAAGGACATGACTATTGCAGGCTGAATTCGGTCATTCCTCCACTCCCTAGCAAATTCATATCTTGAAGCCTTAATCCTCAGAACCTTAGAATGTATTTGGAGATAGGGCCTTCAAAAGACGTGACTAAGTTAAAATGAGGCTGTTAGGGTGGGCTCTAATCCAGTCTGACTGGTGTCCTTATAAAAGGAAGAATTGAACACACAGGAGAGACACCAGGGATACACAGAAAAAAGACCATCTGAGGACACAGCCAGACACCAAAGCCAAAGGAGAAAGGCCTCATTAGAAAGCAGCCCTGCCAACACCTTGATCTTGGAATTCCAGCCTCCAGAACTGTGAGAAAATTAGTTTCTGTTACATATGTCACCTAGTCCATGCTACTTCGTTATGGCAGCCCTCATAAACAAATACAGTGACCCTCCCTGTGAAGTAAGATGGTGTGTTAGGGTCTTATGGCTGCTGTAACAAATTATCAAAAACTTGGTGGCTTAAAGCAACTGAAATTCATTTTCTGACAGTGCTGGACGGTAGAAGTCCTAAATCAAGGTGTCAGAAGTTGTCCCTTCCAAGGTGCTAGGGAAGGATCTGTTCCTTGCCTCTTCCAGCTTCTGAAAGGTATCAGCATTCCTCAGTGTGAGGCCACATCATTCCAGGCTCTGCCTCTATGGTCCCTCTGCTCCTCCTTTTCTCTGTGCAGGTTCTGCTCTGAGCCTTCCTTTTATAAAGACACTTATCATTGGATTTATTGTTCACCCAGATAATACAGGATGCACTCTTCACCTCAAAATCCTTAATTATATCTGCAAAGATGCTTCTCTCAAATAAGGTAATGTTTATAGTTTGAAAATTAACAAATGGAAACATCGCTGACAAGGATCAGCAGGGGAATCTCTTATCCCCATCACTCCTTGTAAACCTCAGGCCCCACTGGAAGAGAAATGGCCTGGCGAATGTGAGACTGGCACAACTCAGCAATGAGAAGTCACAATATGTGTCACTCCTAGTTTACTCGAACAGGACCGTTTGCTCAGAACAGCCGTATCAACTCGGCCCTTTCCTCTATAAAAGGGCATACCTCTCTTTTGACCTCTGGACATGCCCATGGATTTGTCATAGTTTGCATGCCCCAAATTGCAATTCTCTGCTATTTCTTAAAAAAAACATTTTTTTTGGTTGGTAAAATAACAGTTTTATTTTTAAGGTTGACAGGTTCCAGGAATTAGGACTGGGTTATATGTTGTGGAGAGCCACTATTCAGCCCAGGACAGATGGTATCTTCTCCATTTTAAAGAAGAGGAAACTGAGGCCTAGAAAAGAGAGGTGATTTGCCTTTCTTCCTCTGACTAGTTCATCTGAGGTACAAATTCTGGGAGAAGGGGTGTAATCCTAGAAGCTTCTCTCCAAACCAACAAGTGCAATGTTTATTCTTTGAATTTTAGACGTTGAAGATAGGGGCCTTGCTTAGGGGGGTTTGGAAGGAATATTTGTAGTTTTTTTTCTGCCTATGTCAGCCAAGATAATAGAAACCACCCTGAGTATTAGAAGAGGAGGAATGTAATATAGGGAGTGGTGATACCACTAATGGAAGATCTGAGAAGCACACAGAAGACAGGGAGGTAGACTAGAGACTGGGAACAGCCCCAAACCATGAACTCTCTGATGCCAGAGGGACAAAGGGCACAGCAGAATATCCAGATCTCCGGACCTGGATTGACCCAGAGAATCAAGAAACATGGTGAGAAACTTACCAAGAGGGAACTGAAGTCAGGGAGACTACAACCTCCACTGGAGAAATCGCACAAGCAGATAACTAAGGGGGAAAACACCCCATCTTCTCCTTCCCTCTACTCTCTTTTCAATCTCCCATTAGCCCAGTACAACCTGGAGCTTGGGAAATACAGCTTGAGAGCAAACAGGCCCAGGATGAGCAATTGCCTGCAGCCATTCCCCCTCCTGGTAAAAGCTCACTGGGATTCCTGTGGGTGACAACCCCTTCTTTCCTTATCTGATTACGGATTTGTTTTTACTGGAAAATACCAACCTTCAGTGCTTCCCGGAGCTTGCATAATTCACCTTCCAAAATGCAAAACCGTTGTTTTAGGCTGTGAAGTTCTCGGTGGCAGAAACGGGATGGCAAGATGGTATCTTTTAATATTTCTAAACTCTGAAAATAAAAAATAAACAAGCTTGTATCCAGTGAACAATATAAGGACAAGAAAGTGGTTTGACACATGTTTTATACAAGTGAAGGCAGACTTGACCCCATAATTTCATCTTATCTGAACTTACGCTTGAGCGCTGTGCTGACCTGAGCACACAGACACATGGGAACACACGAGCCACGTATGTAGAAAACTGTACTATTTAAAATAGGTATGTCAAAAAAACATACCTGGGCCATACAGTTCTGGCACCAGTTGTATATAGAGCACACTTTATTTGTCCATAGTTTTATCGCATCTTTGATATTGGGAAAGTTGAAGTTCCAGGATGATCTTAGCCAGCTTCTGCTAAGGAGTGTATCTATTGAAGGAATAACCACTCTGTAGGAAAAATAAAATCAAACACATCAAAAACTCCTGAGTTGGAATAACAGCCTCTAAATAACAAGATGGCTTTATAATATGACTTAGGAGCACAGACTACCAAAAGCCAAATTCTTCATTAAGCAATGAAGTTCTTCATCAATTCATTCTAGAATTCTGAGATTCATTTATACAACCAGTATTTTTTGAGTAAATAAAAAAATAGTCTAGTAACCACAATGTTGCTCATGTAATTGTATATTAATGATACAATAAATAAATAAATAAATAAATAGGCATCAAGGATTCAGTAATGAACAAAATAGATAAAAGACTTGCTTCATGATGTTTATAGTCTCCTGGAAGAAAGTTGAAAATACGTAAATAAGCAATATATATGGGTTGTTAGTTAGTGAATACATGTTAAAGAGAAAAAGATAAAGCAAGAGACAGGGAATGTGAAATGGTTGGTAGAGATGAATTTTTAGATAGTGTCTCCAGGAGTCTCATTGAGAAGACACCTTTTGAGGAAAAAAACCTAAAGAAAGTAAAGAAGCTAGCGATGCAACTATCTAAGAGAAAAAAAATCTAGGTAAGAGCAATAGTAAGTGCAAAGGCCTGGAGGTGGAAGCTTATCTGAGATACCTGAGGAGTAGCAAAGAAGCCAGGATGATGAGGGTGGAGAAACTGAAGGGAGGGGATTAGGTGATAATGTCTAAATCAGATCATTAAGGCCTTGTAGGTCATACACAGGACTTCACTTTTTACTCTGAGGGAGAAAGACATTGAAGAGTTTTAAGCAAAGAGTAATACGACATGATTGTAACAGGCTCGCTCTGGCTGCCTTGTTGAATACACTGCAGAGGGGACAAGGCCAGAAGCAGGAAGACCAGGGTTAGAAAGAAACACACAGGCCCAAGATGGTGTCACTTCTGTTAGGCCAAGTCACCAAACCAGGACCTAATCTTAAACCCAACTACGGTTTCAACCTCCCCCTTAAATGTAGTCAGGGATGTTCTGCTTACCATCAGGATATGATAATCTATCACATGAGCCTTTTCTATCTTCCCTAAAAGAAGATGAGGTGATCTGCATTATAAGACCCCCTGTTTCCTCTAAGAGAAAGTGACCTTGCCTGAGAAAAAAATCCTTTCTTTTCTCATCTTTATTTCCCCACCTTCCTGTCTATAAAAACCTTCCATTTTGTACAATTCCTTGGAGCATCTCTCTAAATCCAATTCATGAATCACTCAATAAAGCCAATTAGATATTCAAATTTACTTGGATGAATTTTGTTTTTTAACACCAGTTAGGGAGCTTTTTCAATATTCAGGAGAGACAGAGAAAAGGATGATATCATGGTTACTGCTTTTCAAGGGCCTATTTGTTTTAAAAGTTTTTCTATAAAGAAAGCTATCACAACAAAATGTGAAAAGGTATGTTACTGTGAAACCTAGTACCCGGGGGTCCTATAACTTAGAGTCTCTTTTAATAACACACGTTACCAAAATTAAGATTTAAATTCTAGTCCTATACCTCTTTCATCACTTAGTTACCAGATTCATACAATTACATTGAGTAGGAAAGGAGAAAATAGTTATTGTGCACCTCCAACACAATTCCTTGCAATTGTTACTTTGTTTGAATTCCTAAACTGTGGTTGCCACAGAAAATTCATGAAAATTTTCTCAGTTAAAATTTAATTTCAGATAAAGGATGAATAATTTCTTAGTATAAGTATATTGCAAATGTTGCATGGGACAATACTAAAGAATTATTCATTATTGTTAAAAAAAAAACTCATAGGTCCAACTGTTAGGCAGAAAAATAGATGAGCATGTGGAGGATGAATGAATAAGGCCAGTAAAGCCCACTAAATGGGAATCAAAGAGTTAACTAGGTAAAATCAGAGAGCCAGAAAGGACTCACAGTTAATGACTCCCCCCTGAACCCAAACCCTTTGCGACATAAGTTCATTCCACATACTTTGAATTTGGGCTGACCTTGAGACTTGCTCTAGCTAATGGAAAGCAGGTGAGATAGGGCAGAGACATGGGACAAGCATCATGATTAATTTTCCTAAAAATATCAAGATATAAATAACATAGTAAGAACAAGAGGGACTTATCTTAAGGCTAAGATTCCATTTTAAAAGCAGAGCATTGGGAAGTTGGATTTCTAACATATTCTTTAGTAATCGGCCAAAAACCTATCTTAAGGCAAGGCAAGCAGTTTTAACTGATTTATTTTCAGCGCTTGCAGGTACCCACTATCTTGGAGAAGAACAGGATCAATAAATTTCTTGTGTTAAGTTTATCTTACAAAATTATCTAGAAGACTGACTAGATAATGACATAGTGTCTCTCACCAGAGGTAGACATCATGAGATCCCATGAAAGCCTATGCCCCCTGACCCTTTATCCCATATTTGAAAACCCTTAAAAGACAGAATCCCATATTTTAAGTGTGCCTCTTCTCTGAGGTTGCCCACACTCCCTTTTCTTCGAGTGTGTACCTTTTTGCCTTAAATAAACTTCTCACTGCTCAGCTTACTATGTTGTCTCTGCACTCTTCCAGTAGAAGTACGAGTCTTTGTTACTTTGCTATTTCCTTCTATTCTCCAGGCTTAAGCACAAATCTTCACTGTCTCTGTCCTACCTCAGATAAGTAGGGAGAACCTGCTGAAAGCTCTGATTTGAGCTGGTTAGTTCCTATCACCTCGGTGACCAGACGGAACTGCAGCTGTGCAATCATGCTCTTTAAGAGCCTGCCTGGAAATCTTTCTTTGCTTTGGAAAGTTCTCAGAACATAATCTCACTGCATCCAATGCTCTGTGGCTCCCCCAAATCCTGGGGTGGTAGAGACTTAGTTCCCACACCGTGCAGATCCAAGTGGACACTGGATGCCAGGTGACACTGGCTTTAGTTGTTGGCAGGAGTTGTGCCCTATGCCGAGCAGGAGTTCAATGAACTTCCTTTTTCTCTTTTCCTTACTCTCTGCTGACTGCAAGGTGGCTGCCATTCCCTGCTACTCTCACTTTAATGAATTATTTTCTCACCTTGTACTGACTTCCCTACAATGCCGAACCGAATTCCTCCCCAATACTGTAATTAAGTCGCTCTATGCGAGCAAACTAAGACTTACTACCAACCTAGCTTCGTTTTAGCCTCCCAGGAATGTAACCATCAACTAGTCAAGTTCAAATTTAACTGGGCATTCTGTATTTTTATTTTCTAAATCTGGTAACTGTATCCTAAACCGAGCAGATTTAAAATTTTTCTCTGTTGCCCATTATGCTTTACTCTCAGAACCTTAGAATGTATTTGGAGATAGGGCCTTCAAAAGACGTGACTAAGTTAAAATGAGGCTGTTAGGGTGGGCTCTAATCCAGTCTGACTGGTGTCCTTATAAAAGGAAGAATTGAACACACAGGAGAGACACCAGGGATACACAGAAAAAAGACCATCTGAGGACACAGCCAGACACCAAAGCCAAAGGAGAAAGGCCTCATTAGAAAGCAGCCCTGCCAACACCTTGATCTTGGAATTCCAGCCTCCAGAACTGTGAGAAAATTAGTTTCTGTTACATATGTCACCTAGTCCATGCTACTTCGTTATGGCAGCCCTCATAAACAAATACAGTGACCCTCCCTGTGAAGTAAGATGGTGTGTTAGGGTCTTATGGCTGCTGTAACAAATTATCAAAAACTTGGTGGCTTAAAGCAACTGAAATTCATTTTCTGACAGTGCTGGACGGTAGAAGTCCTAAATCAAGGTGTCAGAAGTTGTCCCTTCCAAGGTGCTAGGGAAGGATCTGTTCCTTGCCTCTTCCAGCTTCTGAAAGGTATCAGCATTCCTCAGTGTGAGGCCACATCATTCCAGGCTCTGCCTCTATGGTCCCTCTGCTCCTCCTTTTCTCTGTGCAGGTTCTGCTCTGAGCCTTCCTTTTATAAAGACACTTATCATTGGATTTATTGTTCACCCAGATAATACAGGATGCACTCTTCACCTCAAAATCCTTAATTATATCTGCAAAGATGCTTCTCTCAAATAAGGTAATGTTTATAGTTTGAAAATTAACAAATGGAAACATCGCTGACAAGGATCAGCAGGGGAATCTCTTATCCCCATCACTCCTTGTAAACCTCAGGCCCCACTGGAAGAGAAATGGCCTGGCGAATGTGAGACTGGCACAACTCAGCAATGAGAAGTCACAATATGTGTCACTCCTAGTTTACTCGAACAGGACCGTTTGCTCAGAACAGCCGTATCAACTCGGCCCTTTCCTCTATAAAAGGGCATACCTCTCTTTTGACCTCTGGACATGCCCATGGATTTGTCATAGTTTGCATGCCCCAAATTGCAATTCTCTGCTATTTCTTAAAAAAAACATTTTTTTTGGTTGGTAAAATAACAGTTTTATTTTTAAGGTTGACAGGTTCCAGGAATTAGGACTGGGTTATATGTTGTGGAGAGCCACTATTCAGCCCAGGACAGATGGTATCTTCTCCATTTTAAAGAAGAGGAAACTGAGGCCTAGAAAAGAGAGGTGATTTGCCTTTCTTCCTCTGACTAGTTCATCTGAGGTACAAATTCTGGGAGAAGGGGTGTAATCCTAGAAGCTTCTCTCCAAACCAACAAGTGCAATGTTTATTCTTTGAATTTTAGACGTTGAAGATAGGGGCCTTGCTTAGGGGGGTTTGGAAGGAATATTTGTAGTTTTTTTTCTGCCTATGTCAGCCAAGATAATAGAAACCACCCTGAGTATTAGAAGAGGAGGAATGTAATATAGGGAGTGGTGATACCACTAATGGAAGATCTGAGAAGCACACAGAAGACAGGGAGGTAGACTAGAGACTGGGAACAGCCCCAAACCATGAACTCTCTGATGCCAGAGGGACAAAGGGCACAGCAGAATATCCAGATCTCCGGACCTGGATTGACCCAGAGAATCAAGAAACATGGTGAGAAACTTACCAAGAGGGAACTGAAGTCAGGGAGACTACAACCTCCACTGGAGAAATCGCACAAGCAGATAACTAAGGGGGAAAACACCCCATCTTCTCCTTCCCTCTACTCTCTTTTCAATCTCCCATTAGCCCAGTACAACCTGGAGCTTGGGAAATACAGCTTGAGAGCAAACAGGCCCAGGATGAGCAATTGCCTGCAGCCATTCCCCCTCCTGGTAAAAGCTCACTGGGATTCCTGTGGGTGACAACCCCTTCTTTCCTTATCTGATTACGGATTTGTTTTTACTGGAAAATACCAACCTTCAGTGCTTCCCGGAGCTTGCATAATTCACCTTCCAAAATGCAAAACCGTTGTTTTAGGCTGTGAAGTTCTCGGTGGCAGAAACGGGATGGCAAGATGGTATCTTTTAATATTTCTAAACTCTGAAAATAAAAAATAAACAAGCTTGTATCCAGTGAACAATATAAGGACAAGAAAGTGGTTTGACACATGTTTTATACAAGTGAAGGCAGACTTGACCCCATAATTTCATCTTATCTGAACTTACGCTTGAGCGCTGTGCTGACCTGAGCACACAGACACATGGGAACACACGAGCCACGTATGTAGAAAACTGTACTATTTAAAATAGGTATGTCAAAAAAACATACCTGGGCCATACAGTTCTGGCACCAGTTGTATATAGAGCACACTTTATTTGTCCATAGTTTTATCGCATCTTTGATATTGGGAAAGTTGAAGTTCCAGGATGATCTTAGCCAGCTTCTGCTAAGGAGTGTATCTATTGAAGGAATAACCACTCTGTAGGAAAAATAAAATCAAACACATCAAAAACTCCTGAGTTGGAATAACAGCCTCTAAATAACAAGATGGCTTTATAATATGACTTAGGAGCACAGACTACCAAAAGCCAAATTCTTCATTAAGCAATGAAGTTCTTCATCAATTCATTCTAGAATTCTGAGATTCATTTATACAACCAGTATTTTTTGAGTAAATAAAAAAATAGTCTAGTAACCACAATGTTGCTCATGTAATTGTATATTAATGATACAATAAATAAATAAATAAATAAATAGGCATCAAGGATTCAGTAATGAACAAAATAGATAAAAGACTTGCTTCATGATGTTTATAGTCTCCTGGAAGAAAGTTGAAAATACGTAAATAAGCAATATATATGGGTTGTTAGTTAGTGAATACATGTTAAAGAGAAAAAGATAAAGCAAGAGACAGGGAATGTGAAATGGTTGGTAGAGATGAATTTTTAGATAGTGTCTCCAGGAGTCTCATTGAGAAGACACCTTTTGAGGAAAAAAACCTAAAGAAAGTAAAGAAGCTAGCGATGCAACTATCTAAGAGAAAAAAAATCTAGGTAAGAGCAATAGTAAGTGCAAAGGCCTGGAGGTGGAAGCTTATCTGAGATACCTGAGGAGTAGCAAAGAAGCCAGGATGATGAGGGTGGAGAAACTGAAGGGAGGGGATTAGGTGATAATGTCTAAATCAGATCATTAAGGCCTTGTAGGTCATACACAGGACTTCACTTTTTACTCTGAGGGAGAAAGACATTGAAGAGTTTTAAGCAAAGAGTAATACGACATGATTGTAACAGGCTCGCTCTGGCTGCCTTGTTGAATACACTGCAGAGGGGACAAGGCCAGAAGCAGGAAGACCAGGGTTAGAAAGAAACACACAGGCCCAAGATGGTGTCACTTCTGTTAGGCCAAGTCACCAAACCAGGACCTAATCTTAAACCCAACTACGGTTTCAACCTCCCCCTTAAATGTAGTCAGGGATGTTCTGCTTACCATCAGGATATGATAATCTATCACATGAGCCTTTTCTATCTTCCCTAAAAGAAGATGAGGTGATCTGCATTATAAGACCCCCTGTTTCCTCTAAGAGAAAGTGACCTTGCCTGAGAAAAAAATCCTTTCTTTTCTCATCTTTATTTCCCCACCTTCCTGTCTATAAAAACCTTCCATTTTGTACAATTCCTTGGAGCATCTCTCTAAATCCAATTCATGAATCACTCAATAAAGCCAATTAGATATTCAAATTTACTTGGATGAATTTTGTTTTTTAACACCAGTTAGGGAGCTTTTTCAATATTCAGGAGAGACAGAGAAAAGGATGATATCATGGTTACTGCTTTTCAAGGGCCTATTTGTTTTAAAAGTTTTTCTATAAAGAAAGCTATCACAACAAAATGTGAAAAGGTATGTTACTGTGAAACCTAGTACCCGGGGGTCCTATAACTTAGAGTCTCTTTTAATAACACACGTTACCAAAATTAAGATTTAAATTCTAGTCCTATACCTCTTTCATCACTTAGTTACCAGATTCATACAATTACATTGAGTAGGAAAGGAGAAAATAGTTATTGTGCACCTCCAACACAATTCCTTGCAATTGTTACTTTGTTTGAATTCCTAAACTGTGGTTGCCACAGAAAATTCATGAAAATTTTCTCAGTTAAAATTTAATTTCAGATAAAGGATGAATAATTTCTTAGTATAAGTATATTGCAAATGTTGCATGGGACAATACTAAAGAATTATTCATTATTGTTAAAAAAAAAACTCATAGGTCCAACTGTTAGGCAGAAAAATAGATGAGCATGTGGAGGATGAATGAATAAGGCCAGTAAAGCCCACTAAATGGGAATCAAAGAGTTAACTAGGTAAAATCAGAGAGCCAGAAAGGACTCACAGTTAATGACTCCCCCCTGAACCCAAACCCTTTGCGACATAAGTTCATTCCACATACTTTGAATTTGGGCTGACCTTGAGACTTGCTCTAGCTAATGGAAAGCAGGTGAGATAGGGCAGAGACATGGGACAAGCATCATGATTAATTTTCCTAAAAATATCAAGATATAAATAACATAGTAAGAACAAGAGGGACTTATCTTAAGGCTAAGATTCCATTTTAAAAGCAGAGCATTGGGAAGTTGGATTTCTAACATATTCTTTAGTAATCGGCCAAAAACCTATCTTAAGGCAAGGCAAGCAGTTTTAACTGATTTATTTTCAGCGCTTGCAGGTACCCACTATCTTGGAGAAGAACAGGATCAATAAATTTCTTGTGTTAAGTTTATCTTACAAAATTATCTAGAAGACTGACTAGATAATGACATAGTGTCTCTCACCAGAGGTAGACATCATGAGATCCCATGAAAGCCTATGCCCCCTGACCCTTTATCCCATATTTGAAAACCCTTAAAAGACAGAATCCCATATTTTAAGTGTGCCTCTTCTCTGAGGTTGCCCACACTCCCTTTTCTTCGAGTGTGTACCTTTTTGCCTTAAATAAACTTCTCACTGCTCAGCTTACTATGTTGTCTCTGCACTCTTCCAGTAGAAGTACGAGTCTTTGTTACTTTGCTATTTCCTTCTATTCTCCAGGCTTAAGCACAAATCTTCACTGTCTCTGTCCTACCTCAGATAAGTAGGGAGAACCTGCTGAAAGCTCTGATTTGAGCTGGTTAGTTCCTATCACCTCGGTGACCAGACGGAACTGCAGCTGTGCAATCATGCTCTTTAAGAGCCTGCCTGGAAATCTTTCTTTGCTTTGGAAAGTTCTCAGAACATAATCTCACTGCATCCAATGCTCTGTGGCTCCCCCAAATCCTGGGGTGGTAGAGACTTAGTTCCCACACCGTGCAGATCCAAGTGGACACTGGATGCCAGGTGACACTGGCTTTAGTTGTTGGCAGGAGTTGTGCCCTATGCCGAGCAGGAGTTCAATGAACTTCCTTTTTCTCTTTTCCTTACTCTCTGCTGACTGCAAGGTGGCTGCCATTCCCTGCTACTCTCACTTTAATGAATTATTTTCTCACCTTGTACTGACTTCCCTACAATGCCGAACCGAATTCCTCCCCAATACTGTAATTAAGTCGCTCTATGCGAGCAAACTAAGACTTACTACCAACCTAGCTTCGTTTTAGCCTCCCAGGAATGTAACCATCAACTAGTCAAGTTCAAATTTAACTGGGCATTCTGTATTTTTATTTTCTAAATCTGGTAACTGTATCCTAAACCGAGCAGATTTAAAATTTTTCTCTGTTGCCCATTATGCTTTACTTTTCTGGTGAGGGTGGTGGAGGGGGAGGTGTGATTAGCTTGGACTGAGAGCGAGAGGCTTCTTTTTTTTTGAATAATCTTTTTGCTTTGGCTTTTAGCTTTCTTCTTCGTTGCTTGAATTTGGGCATGACTTCTGTAGAGAAAAATTTGTTGATTTTTTAATTGAAAAATAACATACAGATATAGAAAATTCACAGATTTTAACTCTATACTTCAATGAATTATCACAAAGTGAACACACCCTTATGACCACCACCTAGGTTAGGAAAAAGGTCACTTACCAGAATCCCAGAAATCCCCTCAAGTGGAAAAAAGTTTAAACCCAGGTTTACACTGTCTCTAGAAGACCTTGGCTTTGCATTACTCTCTAATTTTGTTTTGCCTATCTTGCTTTTCTTCAGTAAGTCAAGTGAATTTCCCTTTCTTTATAACAGAGAAAACGGCCAAAGCTGGGTTATACTCAGTTACTAAAAGGAAGTAAATTTCTTTGCCAGTAACATTTACTGAGCACCCACTGTAACAGGTGGAGTTTGTCATGGAAGAAACAAAATTAACCATTTACTTTAAGTCCATTTACTTTTAGGCCCCTTCACAAACATTTCTCAAGTTAATCCTTACTACCCTGCAGGACTGAGAAATAATTTTTATTCCATTTTTTACATAAGAGTAAACTGCAACTTAGAAAGATTAAATGAACTGCCAATGTGATGCAATTAAGTATTGAGTCCAGTTCTGTCAATCTCCAAGGAGTCTCCAAGTCTCTAATACATGGAGGGGTTGTAAGTTTCGGGAGGGGAAATCCCAGGGCAAAATAACTCTAAAAGCCGAAATCAGTCAAAGGGAGAAATAAAGTTTAAAATCTGTTTATTGTTCACAAATTGCAGTGCGGGACCTTCTCTCTTTCCAGCTCTAGCAGAAGCAAAACCTGCCCTCCCCTCACCTCTCAGGTACGGAGAAGCCCTCATTGACCAGGTAATTACCCATTGATATGGAGATAACTTCTCTCCAGCCCCTGAGGAATGATGCAAATGCACTAAAGCATACTTGTTTCCACCACTGAACGCCTATTGATATGCAGATGTTCTAAAACCAGGCGATATATTCTGGAAATGTTACAATTTTACCCACAGGAGCGATAGTAAATTAAACAGGAGATACACAATGTGATAACAATTATCCTAAAAAATGGATGTTTCAAAACACTTATTTTAAAGCATTTTTATACAGTGTCCACGATATTTAGATTTTAATCCACCTCTTTTCTGAAGAAAATTAAGTCGGTGCGGCTTTGATGTAAAGAAGGGCTTTGCTGGTTTCACTTGTTGCTACTTTAGGAACAAAGACGTCGCTATTCAAGAAGAACTAAAAATGGTCTCAAGGGCTGGGCCTCCTTCCCTTCAAACTTACATTTGAATAGGAACAATCGGCCTTTTTAAAATACACATTCATTCCACTTTTGTTCACCAGTACTTCCAGTACTTGGTATGCAGCTGCAAGTTAGCTCAGCTCTCAGATTCCACTGGCTGGAGAACCGAACCATTTTCCTCTCCATTGTGGGTTGTAAGACCTCAGAGGTGGCCTACTGTAGTTTCATCCATTCCCTAATGACAACGGGTGATGGTGCATATATCAATAGCCCATCCAGGAGCGAAAGTTCTTAAGAGCATCTTACTGAAATATTTGCCAGGTCTCCAATTATTGCCAGAGTTTTCCTTAATTGCTTTTAGAGGCTTGGTACACACACCAATAGTTAGCTGACTTCACCTTTATTATGTCACATTTCCTACCTGCTGAAATAATGAAGGAAGACTAAGGAGGGATTAATAAACACAAGGGATAGGTAAAGAATTGATTAAAAAACAAAACAAAAATATTCTGAATGAAGATGTTTAGGAGAGCCTTGGAGGAAACAACAATCATGTAAGTTGCCTAGAAAAAAGGTTAAACCTCTTCAAATCCATGTTTATGATAATGACTACGGAAGGCCCAGAGTTCACTGGTTGGTATTTTTCTGCCTAACAGGATCCCCCAAATCAGAGACTTCCATGGTAACCCCCCTTCCTTGTCTGCCATCTGGCCCCTTGCAGGCCTCCCCCTGTTCCCTCTCTCCCCTGGATGTCTTTTGTCAGAGATCTTCTGACTGACACAGAGAACAGGCCTCCTGCCTTCCTTTTGCCGATATACCTCAATCCGTGTTATAAATATACTTCAGACAGGAGCGGATGCTCTGGTTAAATTTGGTGGACTGACTCTGTACCTTTATCTTCACCCTGGTGGTGTGCTGAGGTTGGCACACACTGTTACATTTGCAGGAAGTCTGTGAGTCAGTTTTAAACACATCCATCATTAAAATTAAGTTATATAAACTAAAAATTAGACCATTTATATTAAAAAAGGTAATACATATGCAAAACATCACTTCCTACTGATTTTATTATTACCTACATTCTTACTGTGTGTATATAGTGAAAATGCTATAGAATGGTGTTACTGATAATTTCTTCTCAACTCCACACTCAAGTTTCCACACTGGAAACTTGAAATTGTCCTTGATGGGAGTATTTGTTATTATAGTAACTGGATAAATAGACACGAGCAGGGAGGGGTTTGGGGCCTTTGGCCCCGTAATGTGTTTACATTCAGTTAGATGCTTGTTTACAGACTAAACATTCTGTGTAAACTGTTCTCTGGGGATGTGAGGATTGAGTGTACAGATACCAGACCTAACAAAAGTGACTAGTTCCTACACGGAGGAGCAGCTGGTCCAGAGTTCACCTCAGAGTGCATTATATGCTCAACAGCATACTAAAAATCACATCCCTTGACACCATCACGGGTCTGAGGAAGAACCATATAAGGACAAAAAGAGGGTGTCACTCTGTTTTCCCAGAGATCCCCTCCCTATTCCTAGAAAACACCACCTAACCCAATGAATATTCCACTCCTGCTTAAACTCCAGCTGTACGAGCTTGTAACCCGAGCCCCACAGCACTGCCTGTCTCTGGATGGAGGACGCCAACACTCTCTTCCTTAGGGTGCACCACTTTGCTTTATTAAACTACTCCTCGTAGTACCTGCTTGACCTGCTCGTGAATTCTTCCAGGTCAGAGCCAAGAACGCTTCCACGGGTTGAGGTCTCACCTAGTGCACGGGGAGATACCCCTGGATTGGATTGCCTGACATTTTGGCGACCACGAAGGGACTCTTAGCACAGTACTCGTTAGCGTCTCGGTAAGGACGAATCCTATGCTTCTTTAAGACACTCATTGTCTTTTTCTCTTGTTTCCTTGGTGGTTTTTGCTGCTTGGTGGGCATGGGTGGATCACTTGAAAGCCATTAGCACGGTTGCTACCTACAATAAGTCTCCCGTGTGAAGGTGAGTTGGTCACGGAATGGGTTAGATTGGCTCTACGCTACCTGCCAATCTCGAGACAATGTTTGTGCATCAAGGTACACTGAAGCAAAGCAACCCACCCAGCGGCACATTCTGCCTATCGGTTGCAGTCTCAACCTTAAGGGTCCATTTCCTTCACTTACGGCGCTCCCCGGCGCCTAGTCCACGGAGTCTAGCTTCCTCTCAGTTCCTTGTCTATCCCCGTGCCTGCATTAGAGCAGGAAGGTGGTAAGAATCGAGGCAGCAGGAAGGGAGAGGTGGAAGTGGTAACCTTTCTAGGTGGGTTTACACCACACTGACTAAAATTCACGGCTCAAAGGCATTTAGTGTCTTTGAAGGTTTAGGATAGAGCTAAAATAGGATTGACTAAAATTTGCCAGATTGGATGCATCTCTGGAGTCTGTCTTCCAGCGCGGCAGCTTGCTGACTGACTTTCATGTCTTCTTCAATAAGATGGACAGGTTCATTCTGTGGAGAAGCTGAACCATACAGGTGCTAAATTCTGGGCTACCAGACATACCAATAGCAAGGCCACGTGTGTGTCAGCATACAGGAGATAATGGTCTTGCACTGAAGGGAGACTTTTTTAATCCCCTTCCCTTTGTTCAGCTCCCAGAACACAGGCCACCAGGTTTCCTTTCCTTCCTCAAGCCACATCCCTCGTTCCCTGTACAGGAGACTAAAAAATTCCTCTCCAGGGAAATTGGCCCCAAAACTAAGACCTACAGATACTAACATTTGGGGTTCTTCCTTGAATGGTCAAGTCCTTGATCAAATACCCACTGTGGTGCCCACAGGTTGACAATACCCACCTCCCCTACTCTTGAGCTTCCAATCAATCATCTTTTTTGTGCCTTCCTTTGACATAACAGCCAAGGATCATCGGTCATTTTAGGAAAGTCTCTAACAAGAAAGAGATAAAAATAAACAAAAAAAGTATTTTCAATTCAAAAGGAATGGTAAGAAAGTAAAAGCAGAAGGAAACTTAGGAAAAAAAGGAAATATATTCAGACAGTGAGATAATGCGTTCATAAAACAAGAATGATGAGAAAAAGAAAATTAAAATAAAAAATGTAAAAGGTAACACAATGGTTTGAAGATAAAAGTTTTAGGAGAGAACACAGAAAATGGAGAGACTTTTATCAAATGAACAATACAAAAGTATTCCCCAGAACTGGAGGACTTGAATTTCCAGATTGAAATGGTCCACTTAGCATAATGAATAAAAGAAGATGCACACTGAAAAGCATGTCATTTAGAACACCAAAAATAAAGAGGAGATTCTAAAAGCTTGCAAAACGTCTAGATACAGAGGATTGAGAAAAGAACGGCATCAGACTTCAACAGCCACACTCGAATTCTGAAAGAAAATGTTTTCAATCCTAGAATTCTACACCTGGCCAAACTTTGAAGTGTAAGGCCCAAATTAAGATGAACAATGGGGATATTCAGGAAAATGGTAACCACGAGTCACAGCTTTGCAGCTGGTGTAGGGCAGGGGCTAGCAAACCTTTTTGTGAAGGGCCAGATAATATTTTAGGGTTTGTAGACCATCTGGCCTCTGTTACAACTCAACTGTGCCACTATAGCACCAAAACATCTGCAAACAGTACTTAAATAAGTGTGGCTATGTCCCAACAAAATTTTATTTATGGTCAATGAAATTTAAATTTCATATAATTTGTATGTGTAATAGCATATTATTCTTTTAATTTCTTTTTCAACTACTAAAAATTATAAAAGCCATTCTTAGCTCATGACACCTAGAAAACAGTAGTTCGCTAATCCCTGGTTTAGAGCACACGCAGCCAGTGAAGTGAGCAGGAGTGAGAGTGGCTTCAGTAAAAATGTATCTAAGGAAAAAAAGAAATAGGTAAGTTACCTACTGTGGTGGACCATTCTGAACCAAGTTTACTGTTCTTCTGTAAATTTGGGGCCAAATTACTAGTAAGTGCTTTAGAAATTAAGTATATAGAAAATGGCTAGGAAAAAAGTCATATAAGAAAAATGCAATCACAGTTAACACTATGTTCAGCTGTTCCATAATATTTAATAGTATAAACACTGTTTAATCAAAAATGATGATGTAGGTATATATTGAGAAGACAAGAGAGAAAGTGGAAATCAGTAATTGTCTAAATGTATGTAATGTCTAAAACTGTAGAGTAGAGTTTGGAAGAGCATTAGATACTCTGCCTCTAGAGAATAATTGTCCAACTAGAAGAGTATACAGCCTTGTTTCTCTAGGTTATAACACATATACTTGTGCCCTTTCCAAAAGAGAATGAGACATACAAATTCTTTTTGCTGGATTAGGTGGGGTTCCAGTTGCTAACAATAAAAAGAAGCTCTTTCTTTCATGATTACCCAAATCATTTTTCCTATTTTTTTTAATTGAAATGTGCTCTTCCTTCCTTTTTATTTGACTTGTTTTGAAAAGAATTTAAGGCCAATTAATAAAAACCTGTACGACAACATGTTAAAAAAACAAACAGGCAAAATAGGTGAAGGGGATAAAGAGGTGCAAACTTCCAATTATAAAATAAATAAGTCACAGGAATGAAAAGCACAACGTAGAGAATATAATCAATATTGTAATATCTTTGGATGGTAACTACACTCAAAGTGGTGAGCATTTTGTAATGTATGTAATTGTCTAATCACTATGTTGTACACCTGAAACCAATATAATATTGTGTATCAACCATGCTTCAATAAGAAAATTTTTATTAAATAAAGGAGACAATCTATAAGGAAAAAGGAAGTGAGGAAATTAGGATACTCCATTATAAAATATAATATATAAAATATATATTATATATCTATATTCATATACATGAATCAGAACTACTTCTAATTAATTCACCTTGTCCCTTCTCACTATTCCTCCCTTGTCTTCTAACTTCAGTTGCCTTGGCCATCCTTCCCGTTTTTGTCTTTTGCTACAGTTTATTTTCCCTACTCTTTTTATTTTGAAAAATTTCATAACACATTGAGAACATTTACCAGAACAGTGTAATTAACACTCTTATATCATTCACCTAGATTCAGCAAATGTTACCTGTTAGTTATCTCTCCTTTTGTATAGGTGTGCATGTCTGTATAATATATAATATATATTATAACATGTATTATACATAGTATACAAAGTACAGTATAACTGTATATTCATATATAATGAATCTTTCTATGTAATTTATATAATTGTATATAATATAAATATGTCATATATATATTTATACACATACACTCCTATACAGAAAGATAACAGTTGGTGAATATAGATGAATGATGTGTTTATTATACTATTGTAAAATTTCCCAAGATTTTAAATTTTACAAAATAATATATATAATATACATGTATATAAATATATAAATATATAAATATATATATATACACACATAAAAGCTTTTAGCTTTGGCTGAGCAGTCAGCTGCAGATACCATGATACTTCATTCCTAGGTACTTTAGTTGAGTTTCCTAACATGGACATGTATATTATCCTACAAAACCACAATCAGAGGAAATTTAACCTTGATATTATCTAATAAATAGTCCATATTTAAATTACCCCAGTTATCTCCCTTTCCCTGTCCCCACAGCATTTAACTGTAGTGTCTTTTTAGTCCCCTTTAATTCATAATAGCTCCCCAGGCTTTTTTATATAAGTATTTGCCATTCTTCATGTTTATATTTATAAGAACCCAGGCTAGCTTTTTTGGAAAATGTTGCCCAGATTGGATTTGTCTAAGTCTTCCTCCAATGATCTTCTTGCATTCAGTCTTTCTCTTTGCCAGTTTTGTTTTCTACACTGTTAGAGTTCGTTTTTTAAACAAAAATGTGGTCCTGATAAAACCTTGCTTAAAAGTATTTGAGGGTTTCTTATCGCCCACTGGATAAACCAAATTCCTTAGCATATCTTTCAAAGCTTTTCACAAGTTAGATCTAATGACCTTTCGCAGCCTCATCTCATTCAGTGATCAAGTAGTTGTCACATATACCAAAGACCAAATACTTCCTATAGTATTATCAGCCTTTCATTCTGCTTGGAGTATCCTCTTCCAGGCCATCTTATATAGTCTTCAGAAAGATTCTGTTATTTTTTCTGATATTTTAATGCTTATAATTCACCATGGTAAATGCATGATATGTAGGTATGGTAGATGCTGGGATACAATTGTGAACAAGACCAATAGTCTCTGTCCTTATGGAATTTATCCTGGCTCAACATCCCTTTGTGCTTGCTTCTTTTAGTACTTTGCACACAACAGCTGTATTGCACTGTAATTTTTGTTTGCATTTTGTCACCTGCTGGACCGCAAGCTTTTCTAGAATATATTTTATTCATCTTTGTTTCCCCAGGACCTAGAGTATAGCAGGCATTAAATAATGTTTAATTATTTAATTAAATAATCATCCCTGCAAAGTGTTAGCTAGCAAGTGTTGTCTTTCAGTTTTGGAATATACTTTAGTAAAATTAAATTACGGAAAAACTCTTGGTGAGGAGGGTTTTCAGTTCCTCACATCATACCATAACCTTCCTATGGTTAAAGGACTGGGTCCAAAACTATTTCCAGAAGCAAGATGGAATAAATTAAGAGAGTAAGAATTACAATCATTGGCAGGAGTTGGCACTGTTGCTTCTATTAACACTCCACCTGTGATACGAAAAGTGCATTTAGTCAAGGGTCACTTCCAAAGCTGTAGCAATGGAATTGATAATTGCATTTCATTACCATTTTTCTAAAACACATCTCTATGGAGGTTTCTTATACTTTTACAGTTCTTACACAGTTCAACTAATTCTTCTTGAACATCCATAGAAGGTATTTCTGGTACTTTCTTATTAATTTTATGTTTTATGCTGTGCAGCATTGCTTTTTTTAGTTCTTGTATTTTTTTTCTAAAAGATTGCAGCTTTCTAACGCCTGACCCAGCACATTAGGCACAAGTAAACAGGGCACACTTTTAAAACCTAACTCTCACAGAACGTCAGCCAATATTAAGACTCTATCAAGGAACACAGTAATATTCCCTGTCAAGAAAGGCATGTTTAACGTGCATAAGAATCACTGGGGGTTTCTTGTTCAAATGCTTATCTGATTCAGTAGGTCTGCGTGGAGCCCGACAATTTGCATTTCTTACGAGCGCCCAAGTGATACATAGTTGCTGTTGGTTCGCAGATTGCACTTTGAGTAACAAAGATGGAATGTGTGAAAGGATGGTAGATGCTTTGCTCCAAAATATATTTAGCATAGCGTTAATTAAAAACAAGTAAGGTTAGGGTGAGCCAGGCCGAGAACTACTTACCCACCCTCAAATTTCCTCTTCCCCGCTCCATCTTCCCTCCTGGTACAGCTAAAGACCCCACCTCTAAAAACCGTAAGAACACTAGCAGCAACAAGCCGAGCTACGGAAGACACGAGCCCAGGTTACAAAGGAACATATCCCTGCACTTACTAGTCTAAGAGCCTGGAGATTAGATGGAGTCCAGGCAGTGGCCTTTCTCTCGCCGTAAAGAAAAATTCAAAATTAAAACCTTTTTGCGGAGGAACCAATCGTAGCTATGGTCTCTCCACGATTCGCTTTCCCAGTAGTGTGATTGGCTCAGGTTGCACCACGCTCCGGCCAATCAGAGCTGAGGCGCTTCTTGTATGAATAAGGGAAAGGCGGGAGCGAAGGGGAGGGGAAGCAAAGGAGGAAAGAAGGTGTGTCAAGTTCCTGATGCTGTTTGTGGAAGCTTGTGTGTAACTGGTTGGCTGTTCTTCTGATTTCACCAATTGCAGGCTCCTCTGCGTAGCCCTCACTATAAAACGGAAAGTGAAGATGAGGGTGCAGCCAATGGGAATAAAAATGTGTACGGCAGCCAATCCTCCTGCGGCGTTTTGTGTCTTTGCCCAACAGGAAAAGGTGTTTCATGCGGTGGGGCGTTACCCAGTCGCCAATGGGCGGGCTCCGGGAAAGCGGAAGAACCAATGAATGTGAGACGTTGAGTGACAGCTGTCCAATAGGGACCCTCAGTGCTAGTATGGTTTGTGGCTTAAGCACAGCCGCGGTCTGCGGAATGTCAACTATTCAACATGGAGGCGGAGGTCGATAAGCTGGAACTGATGGTGAGTCTCAAGTGGAGATCTGCTGGGTAGTTTCTTTTTCTCAGATGGCCTCTAAGGTGGGACGCAGTTTAGAGTCGCCGGAAACCCTTGGAGGCGGAGGCTGAATCAGACTCGAGTTCCCTCCTCCTGCATTAAAGGGAGTCGCCGCCGCCTGGTCTCCTTTAACCGCCGCGAGGGACGGGGTTACATCCGGGAAATTCGTGAGGGAAATGGCGGGAGATGCTGAGGTGGAGGGGCCTTTGGAATTCCTTGTTCCTTGCCCTCAGCTTTCCCCGCTCCTGGATTGTGGCTGGTGCAAACAGTATTCTGTGTATTTCCACCAAAAAGACGTGACTAGGATGGTCTCCTAACCGAGCCAAGAAGGGGAGAGGTCGTTCACTCTCTAAGAAAGGGGGATGGAGGGTAGGGTGGGGAATAAGACGAGGAGGGCGGAGAGAAATCCCATTAGGGCTGAACCGTTCGCGTTCTCCAGGGCGGGTTGAGGAAGTCTGAGAAAGGATGCTAGACTTGGCATGAGCAACTAATAGCGGCGAGGGACCCCTTCGACCAGTTCCTGTTCGGCTCGACGGTGGCAGTCCTTGGGTCGGGGAGAGGTGTGAGCCTCGGGGATCTGCACCGCTAGCTCCTTTCCTGGAGCGCGGGCGGGATTGGGACTAGGAAGACACCCTGCTCTCAAGTTGCTTAGTTTCACTCATTTGTGAAATAAGGGGCGGGGGCTAGTAATTGGAAAGGTCTTCCGCGGCTCCTTGGCCTGCACGAAGGCGCCAATCTGGAGGGCTGTCTAGTTTTCTTCTGCGATTCTTCTCTCACTTGTCCTCTTTATTCCTTCCCTCTCATCCCTGAACTACCAGTTTGATTGCCCGCGCTTTTTTTCTTCCCTTAGTTCCCTTTTTCTATCTTCAGTCCTTTCCCCCCTGCAATACCAATGTTTGGATTGCGCTGGCTTTCTTTAAAGTGTGGCATTTGGAGGACGCACCCTTCATCGAGCTCCTGTCAGTTTTTTTTTTTTGTTAAAAAAAAAAAAAGATTAAATTAAAAGCCAAAATCTTTCTTCTTTGGAATCCGCCCCTCCTCCCCCTGCCGTTCCCTGGCACTTCTCTCTCATTTGTCCCTGTGCTGCTCCCTCCAAGCTGAACCCTGGGTTATTTTAGCATCACCACCTGTAGTGAGTGATCCTGGAAGAAACTGAGTAGCGTCCTTCTCCCATTAGCACCCCCAGAAAATGTAAGACCTTGATATTTCTTACTATTTTCTTCTGCTGTATTAATTGTAGTGCCTCTCATATACAAATTCGACTTGAAGGCTTTCAGTAGCTTCTAATGTTTTGAGTTTTAATTTTCTTTTTGGGTGTGTGTGTGGGGATGGGGAGATGGAGAGAGAAATGGCTGCGAATAAAGAAGAATTTTCTGCAGTCTTCCAAACCTTAATAAAGAACTTTCAGTGAAACGTTTTGTAGTTTTAACTGTCTTAAACAAAAAAAACTTGTTACGTATTGTAGTTTGATTTTATCAACAGGTATAAATGGTAACACTGCCTTGCCCTTCTCCATTCTGAATTTTTCCCTCCAGATCAATATTCCTGCCTAATTCTAAATGCTAAATTATACTAATACTGTTTTTAACAGATGGGGTAGTTGTTTTTTTTTTTGGTATCATTAATCTACAATTACATGAGGAACATTATGTTTACTAGACTCCCCCTTTCACCAAGTCCCCCCCACAAACAGATGGGGTAGTTTTTGTAAGAGAAGAAAGGTCTTTATTCCTAAATTCCTTCAAGTAACCTAGTGGTAGCTTTTTACCCCTATTCAAGTAATTAGTTTGTTTCCCTAATCATTAGGGTTTAGAAAATGTATTTTAACTATTATCATGGTTTCATTATTACTGCTTTGTATTGATTAGCTAGTAAAAGAAGGTGCATCTCATTTTCAGATTTGTCATGTACCTCTATAAAAAAATGTTACATCTGTGAACCCATGTCGTTTCTAAGGTTCTAAGGTAAATGATTTCCAGTACAGCCTCCTGATTTTTGGTTTTACATTATTTGAATAAACGATTTGGTGAGGAACCAATGTTTCAATATTTAATAAAAAAATGCATATGATTAACTCAAAAAATGCTATCCTAATTTTGTAGACAGCTTAATTTAAAAATATTTATTTTTCTTGTTTGTGTTAACTTCTAATTAAGAAAATTAAACATTTGTTTTTTATATACTTGTCTTTAAAAGCTGATCCTTGGCCAGCAGAATTGAAATAATGTCTGAGTTATCATGGCCTAGGATTTAAGGTCAAGACACTTTTGTTCAAGCTCAGTTCCCGGATCTGAGTTGATTTCTTAGTGAGTTCAATCCAAATGAGTAGCTGAACTGGACCATTTAAAGGAAGGTTGGTGAAAATAAAGGAAAGTATTTTTGCATTAATTAACATTATGAATGGAGGAATAAACTCATTGTAGGATAATCTGTGTTCTCTACCTTTTTTTCCTTCATTTATTGATTGGGCCCTTCTTTTGTGGTACCCCTAGTGATCATGCACAAAAGGTAGTGCATTGTGATACTATGATATTATTTCTATTTGAATGGTTTCTTATCAGTTAAAAGGTTAGGATATTAATTGGCTTAAATCCAAGGAAACCTAATTCTTAAATCTTGGAACCCCTCCCCCTCCTTTTATTATTTTCACCTTGATTTTCTATAGTGTAATAAATGGAGATTATTTCCTCTTACATTTAAGATGTTTTAGGGGTTAACAGACAGTTTAAAATCCTCTTCCATAGTTCAGTTAGGTAGGGCTACTGGTGTCCTCTTTAAGACACATTGATTTCCTGAAAGTCTATAAACTCTTGAGATAGAAAACCTTGACATGATGGTAAGTGCTTTTTGTATTGTAGTTTAGATTCCAGAGAGATCTATTGAGTATATAGAAATTGGGAAACTTATTATTTTATTTTTCAGTTGTTTTCTTTTATAGTTTTACTTAAAGGGCTTGTTATATATGGCAGTTAATCAATTGCTATGGAGGAGCTCACCAACACATTTTGGCAGAACAGAAATATTTTTTAAAACTTTGCCTTAGTAATAATTATAACAGGTTTTGTTAATACCAGTCCTAAGGAATTAACAGTACCCATGATAGTAACTTCTAAAGCTTAGGGTATATGTACAAAATTCCTTTCTACATCTCCATGTTTCTGTTTGAATATTAATCATAGGTCAGTCATCAAAAGACAGTATCACTTTGACATTTAAGTCCTATTCTTTTTCTTTTCCTAACATTGATATGAATGTTCTTGAGTTTTGGATGCCTTCTGTCCCAAATGGTAACCCTTCTTCAAATTCTTTTTACACTGAAGCTTCAGCTGATGCAAGAAGTTTTTGTGTTCCTTTCCTTCCCTATTACTGCTAACGAATGCTCTGACTTTATTGCACTACTGTACTTTACAGCTAGCAGTGCAATAGTATTGTCAAAGCATCTGAAAGCAGAATTCACACCAGAATTTTGATTCTTGCCTTACTTTCTTCAGTATCTGTGAGTATTTTACCACAGGCTATGTTGCTGGAAATGGTATAATTTTTTATTACCCAAAGTCCATGTTTTAGAAAGTCATAATTTGAAAAATAAAGTTTTTAACTAATTAAAAACTTATTACTGTACTGCTTTATGAAACACATTGAGAAACTACTTTTTATAGCTAAAGTTGTTAGTACTTTGTAATTTGCTGCTTTCTGTAACAGATTGGGATAGGTTCTGGCAGATCTCGGGTTTTATTTCATTTCATTTTAAGATGAATTAGTAAGTGATGAAAGCAATCACTGCTGTTTATTTCCTGTGGTAACTTGCCCCAAATCTTCATTGGTGTTAATGTTGTGTACTTTGTAGTAAAATGCTTGAAATTAAAACTTAACAATGCTTGTTTTAAAGTTCTTTTTTGTATTTAAGAGATCTAATAAAGCGTGAATCCATTACCTGTTTTTTTGTAATCATTTTTATTGAGGTATGATTTACATACACAAACTTTCCAATTTTAATTGTACAATTTGATGAGTTTTTTTTTACAATTGAAGTATAGTTGATATACAATATTAAATTGATTTCAAGTATACCATATGGTGATTGGACAGATGTCTACACTATTAAATGCTCACCCCAACTAGTGTAGTTATTATCTGTCAGCATATAAAGATGTTATAGAACTATTGATTATAATCTCTATGCTGTACTTTCATACCATGACTAATTTATGATTGAGATGTTGTGCCTCTTTATTCCCTTCACCTATTTTACCCACCTATCCAACCCTTCCTCCACACT